CCATGAAGAACTGACCCAGGTGACGAAACCTTAAATAATCTATGGCCTCACATGTGTGTGGCTGATTCATCTTCTTGTAGGCACCTTTCACAGGTTGGGTCGTCTGTCAGTCCCAGTTTGAAAAGGTGTCCTTTTAGGTGCAGTGTCCAGTAAGTAATCCTACCACTAATCTTAATTAATTTCTGTTTAATTTTAACAGGTCACTTGTTCTTTTGGCAGAGGGTCCTGATATATATCCTTTTGCCCGTTTGAGTCCAGTTGTGGATTCCCAGTGTTTTTTGTGATTTCTGTTAGTCCAGCCCCTGATCGATTTCTTGGCAACTCCAATTGGGATGCCGCAAGCTGGTTCAAGTCCTGTTCTTGCCAGCAGATCTGCGGTTTCATTCCCTGCAATACTCTCCTACTGAGATGCCGCCAGCTGGTTCAGGTCCTGTGAACGGCTGTTCAGATCCTGTTCTTGCCAGCAGATCTGCGGTTTCATTCCCAGCAATACTCTCCTACTGAGATGCCGCAAGCTGGTTCAAGTCCTGTTCTTGCCAGCTGATCTGCGGTGTCATTCCCTGCAATACTCTCCTACTGAGATGCCGCAAGCTGGTTCAGGTCCTGTTCTTGCCAGCTGATCTGCGGTTTCATTCCCAGCAATACTCTCCTACTGAGATGCCGCAAGCTGGTTCAGGTCCTGTTCTTGCCAGCTGACCTGCGGTTTCATTCCCAGCAATATCCTCATGGCCTGGCACCCATATCAGCTGAACTCAGTTATGCCTGGCCAGTTGTGTGAGGGATTGGTGGCAGTCCCAATCGGAAAGTGAATCCAAGCCTAACTAAACAAACATAGCCCACTATTTCGAATTATATCTGAAAAATATGCCCCCAAATCAGTGACTCATTTCTTTGGAAACAATGCGTTCATATATAGCAGTTTCGAGTTCATTAACTTTATGATACTGTTTATATAAAAAGCAAACTTTAAGAGCTTAACACATTTGAAACAGCAAATGTGACAAGAAGGTTTTAAAATAATTGGCAATAATTTCATGTGTTTATCTCCTTTCTTAATATCCCAAATTAAGATTTAAAATATTGTAACGTGTCTGGAGTCCAGAAGAGACACTTCTGTGGAAACGCCAGAATAGACCGTTGCATAATAAACAACAATTGCTCTACTGTAGTTCTAACAGGAATCTCCACGGTTACGACGAATACGCGAAGGTTCCCACAGAGACAACGCGATAACAATGGGTTATTGCGTAGGAAACGCGGAGCCAACAGTGCAACGTCTCCACCGCTATAACAGAGGGTTCGTTACCTAGCAGTGGCCAAGGATAAATAGCCCAGCTTCGACACGAAGCCAGTCAGTCTCGGATCATTCTTCGAAGAAGAGAGCCTCGGAATAGTCCCCGAAGAAGAAAGCTTCGGATCGCCCGTCTAAGAAGTCAGTTTGGAATATCCGTCTGGGTCCAGTATCGCCGGAATATTGTATCGGTTATTGTAAGCCTGCAAGTGCAGATGATTGTGAAGTGTGTGTAATGCGAGCGAAAGAAATAAACTCGCTATATCAAAGAACGGCGTGAACTTGTTTGTAGCGTGACACACAAAACACGCTACAATATATTATGCGGTTAACATAAAAGTCTTCATCCGTAAAAATTCTGACATTTTAAACCTAAAATTTAAGAATGCTATGAAATTTTATTTTTCCTGCATACTGCTCATACAATAACCACAGGGGAAATCCTGGGCAGGATGGGAGACCGTAGCACACAAGCAACCCAGAAAATGTACGCAGAGCGCAACAACTGTGGCGCATGCGCTCTGTAATTGCTGCTAGATCTAATTCGTGGATGTTGGTGTATGATGTTCTCTTATAAATAGTGTAAACCTAATGAATTCAAGCTGGTCACAGTAGCCAAGTGGTCTAAGGCATGAACTGTCTTCCCTCGCTCGGACGCAGGGATCGTGGGTTCGAATCCCACTCTAGGCATGAATGTCTTGTGTGTGTACGTGTCTATTCTGTGATTTTGTTGTCCTGTGTTTAGGTAGAGCCCTTGCGACGGGCTGATCACTCGTCCAAGGAGTCTGTCTGTAAAACTGACCATGAAATTGAAAATCAAGAGGCCAGGGCCCAGGGGGGGGCTGTAGAGTCAGCGAAAAAAAAAAAAAAAAAAAGAACGATTTCAAGCCAAAACACTGATACAAATATTTAAAAAATGTATCTCTCCCATTTTTACATGGCGAACACATCGTGAACGAACTCATGCAAACCATAACTAAGCAAAAGCCTTCAATAATCTTATGAAGATCACTGAGTATGCGCAGTGAATATGTGTTACGAAACGTAGGCAAAGTGTAACAGCACCGGTATATAACAAACTATAAGACTTATAAAGTGTACTAGACATAAAACGTGTTTCATTTTTCTTTGCAAACCTTCCTGTAATGTGGTCGTTATAGCTGTACGATGAAATAAAAGTTTTAAGGACTTTACAGTTTTTTTTAATTCTCCAATATAACTTTTATTCAAAGTCTGCTTATCCTGTACCACGTTTTCTTTGGTGCGTATACACGGAGCCAGTTTAATAACCGCTCACCACGGGCGATCTTTATGGAAGTAAACTAGTAAACGTGTACGATGGACCACAATACGGAAATAGTAAACGGCTCCTTTAAATACACACGAGAGGACAGTCGAGTGACTTGAACATGTCTCTTATGCGTCACCGCAGAACATTAATGGAAGCACTTAATGTGTCTCTGTAATGACGACGGTAATTGTGGCGTGATGTTTGTTTAAAAATTACTCCAATATTTACAAGAACAGCACTGTTAAGTGGGCAGTAACTGACTGAATGAATATAACTGGCAATTTCTATTTCGTACCATACATTAACACCAAGATTCGTTAATATCCCTGAAAATTAAGCGAGGATATTACACAAGGTTGGTATCAAGGACGTCACGCAAAAAGGGTTTCTCGCTTACAATTAAAGCTTACAAGAATAATCAATTTACAGCATAAGATTAAATTAATTAATTCTTGTATCTTACATGTTTACTTCAAATTCAATGGTAACCCGACACGTTTCGACATTCAAACGTCATACACAGGGGTAGCCGTTAAATATGAAAACTGGTAAAACTCTTTCTCAAGGTTATTTTTCAATACTGTATACACAATTAAAAAACTTATTAAAAGTTAGTGCAACATGTGAAGTAACACGTGTTACATCAATTTGTGTAAGATCTTCAAGTTCAAATTCGTGTAAAGATTAATATGTAGGACGGTATACTAAGAGAATGCATGGGATCAACACGCGTTAACAGAAGGACCTATGTCTTTCTGCAGAATATGTAATTATTAGGTTGTGTATACCCCATGTCGACTTTGGCCTGATTGGGAGTACTCTCACTTTATAGTAACAAAAGAGTAGAAATGACGTTATAACGAAAACAGCGTTAATTTATTAATGATAGTCATAGAACTCAACATACATTTTAAAATAAAAATATAAAAACGCAGTCCAGTGTGATTGGTAAATGTTTTTTTTTTTATCTTTCATCATTTACATGTTTCGGTCTGAGAAAACATCTTCAGGAGGACATACCAATACTTGTGGAAACTTATTATTATTATTAGTCTATTTACAAGTAGGTTTAAAACTTTGTTAAAATCTAGAACCAATCTGGTTCGTCTGCTTTATACTGCTTCTCTTTAACAAAGTTTTAAACCATACTTGTAAATAGACTAATTATAGTAATTTATAAATATTTTAATAAATTCATGTACATCGCTGTAAGTGTTAAAGGCTAATATTTTATATTCATGGCATTGTAATAATAGTATTTGTAAATACAGATATAATAATATAATATATAATAATGAACAATTACACTGTAGTAGGAGCTTCCACATGTATTGATGTCTCCTCCTGTAGATGGTCACTCTGACCGAAACATGTCAAGGATGAAAGATTAAGAAACAAGTATCAATCACACTTGGACGGCGTTAATAATCTTTTATACCATTCTTAGTGTGAGGGACCAGGATGAACCAAGTACATTTTAATTACAACTCTTTTATACTATTATTGACATGCTCCAGGATTCAATTCAAAATAATGCATTGTACTCAGTGGAATGAATGAAATCAATGCGAAAACATCAATCACGGTAATTAGGTTGAAAAATAAACTATATGCGGATAATGATGATGGTATTATTTCGTGCAGAGGGCTGTTCGCACTCCTCGGTTTGGTCAGAGCCTAAGTATGAATCAGAATGTTGTCCTTAGCTCATACGTTAGTGCCTGGTGGCGCATCTGTTACAGTACACAAGGGAAGCATGAACTGTGTCATGAAAGAAGCAGCCGTGCTCCACATTAGTTCACTAAGCATGGAACGAACCCTATAACAAAAACCAGGACAGACAGGACTGGAAATGAACATGTATAGCACTAAATTATAAAGAAAACCCGGTGGTACATTAAGGAAATAAATTGTGGGTCCTGATCTGTGGGCTGCACTGCTGACGTTTCGGAGATCCTTACTGCTTCTATTTTCAATGCCAACTTTCCCGTGTATATGTAAGGTGAACTGCTTGTGTTTCAGTGATTCTCACTGTCCACCATATACTTATCGGTTATATCTCCGAAACGACGGCAATAATGAATATGTTTTGGGAAATAACGCCGTGTAGTCCGTTGACAGTCAAATTATGTTTCGGAAGAACACAACGCCTTCATCTTCAGGATCGAAGAATAAGCCGAGCAAGAAGAGCAATCGCATGCGGTATGTTCTTCTAAAACGTCGGTTGACTATCAACGATGCGGCGTTATAATCCAGAAGACAGAACTGTTCATAACCACGGATGTGAGGACCTCAAATGACAGTAACACTGCCTACAACTGCATCGTGTCGTCACCCATAAACATGATGCACATTCCCAGGGATCGCAATTACGGGCTGCAATCTGTAAAGTGGACAGGAACACAACCGCGGGCTTACCTTCACAGTGCTTGCAACGTTTGGTGCGGTCAGCGGTCGAGGACGAGGACGAGGCGGCTCCAGTGCTCACGGGCATCCTGGCGACACGAACAACTTGATATGACGGCGAGTTGGCAGCAGCAAATTTAGCAACCACCAGGAACCATTACAACCACCACTTCTTTCATTATTCTAGTATTCAAAATATACAGAATCGCTCACTCCCTACACCGACCACGATCACCATATAAATCACCAGTCTCAGCCGCAGCACAAGTTCCCAAAACTTCTTCACACTCTCGTCCAAAAGAAATACAGCTGCGATCAAACTCCAATCTTCAACCATACGGATGGAAATAAGATGGTGGTGATACGGATAATGATGACTACAGAAATGGTGCTGAGGCCACGATTCATGAACCATGGCGTCGGTGGCGTCGTGTTAGAATTATCTTCTAAAGTGATTTCTTCCTTATCATGTTTTGGATTCAAAGGAAACGGATCTTGTAGGAGTGGTGAAGTAGTTTCGGACCGGTCGTCGTCTCCTGTAGCACGCGGAGGTAAGGAAGTGTGATCCTCACAATCAAGAGTGGCAATATAAACCGCTGGTAGAGGCACTTCACTATTCCCAGATCTTGTCATTATGAATTCCTTGTCCTCAGCAACCAAATCAGAAGCAATTATTGTTCCCAAATACCAATAGTACCAATAGAATTACACAAGATATTCGCATTTTATATATTTTAGGCCTACACCAACAGGAAATCAGTCCTGACTGCACAGATGTGACGCTCTCGCCTCAAAACGAGAAACAAACGTTTACACCATAGTCCCTCAGCCATTGTCACATTAAACTGCTTATATGTTCCACGTATGTCCAACTTTCGAGTTCCAGCACACAACTTTCCACATTACTTTTATAAATTTCGAATATAAAAGAAATGGAAAGTTTCAGAGTTGTAACTAACAAATTTTTGGGCCAGATGTTTACTTCTCTGTTAGGCCACAATCTGCATGATAAGATAAACTGAGAGGCAGACAGGATTATGATAATCGACGGTATTAATATTCATGTGGCATCTTCAGACGGAGTGACTGCTTCTGGGAGGGGCGTAGCTCACACAACACTTGTGGACCAGCTGACTGTCTTCCTGACATCCCACACTCAGATGGCGACGATACAAATATATAACTACTTCTAATAATATCTTGATGGCCCCCTTCTTTCATTTAATTCGTTTTATAATATTCGGTATATATTATTATTCGTCCACGTTTTTTTCTCTTGCTTCTAAAAAGTTTTCTATTTCTGAAACTTTTGTGCAAAGTTCGTTTCAATCTCTCTCTGTCTCTCTATCTTCCTCTTCTTCACCCTGCGTGCTACTTGTCGAAACTACTGCTTGTGTCGTCGAGTGTAGAAGGATTGAGTGCGAGGGAGCGAGCGTGTGTCTAGTACGGACGTCGTTGTCGTATGCACCGATATGAAGCGTTGAGCTTCTCGCATCTTTCTCAGCGCCCAGCCCGCCACCTCCCAGCCTCTTACTCCTTGGTCATGATGGGACGGATATCTTCCCCTGTAAGACCTCACTGTCGGCTGTTTCCGGAACGACGCTCGGGAGTGTCCGCGACGCTGGCACGCGTCGTCCTGGAATGTTCACTTGGGCTTGTGCCATACCGGGGGCGGCGACGAAGTCTTGTGGGGGTCTCAAAAAACCTGCTTCCGACCCGAACCCGCAACTCTTCGACATTGTTAGTTTAACCTTCTGTTATAGCATCTTTGTTTCCTGACTACCCTTTTCCCTTTACGTTATATGTTTCTATATTTATGGCTGTAATTATTATTTTTGCGGCGAATCTCGTTCAAATGTGACTTCATGGAACAAAGTGTTTCTTGCGACGGTAACAGCCGCTAAGTTAGTTAAGAAATTACTCTGTTTCGTAAAAACTCAGTGGCTCATCAGCACGGCCACAAAGGCAGACAACAATCCCGATTCTGAGGCAGATGAAGTCAATCCATATTTCTACACAATATTTCTGTAATATTCCTCCTCAGATCTGAGCCTAGACGTCGGAAGTGATCTTTTCCATTCTGGACTTCCGGCAAAAATTTTTGTACGTGTATCACTTCTCATGAAAGTGACACACGACCAGCCCACCCTCCTTGATTTTATCATCGTAACACCATTTCAAGGCCGATCACAGTGCCTGCGCGGCCAAGGCATGAACCGTCTTGGACCGCTCGAACATTAGGTTCGTGGGTTCGAATCCCACTCAAGGCATGGATGTCTGTTTGTTGTTCTGTGTAGATAGCGGCCTTGCGATGGGATAATCCCCCGTCCGTGGAGTCCTACCGTCTGGGTATAGATCACGAAACTGAAAAAGCGACCAAGGTCCACAAGGGCTGTAGAACCACAGATACGTAAACAGCATTTGAAGAGTACAGATTATGAAGTTCCTTATTTTTTTATTGCTAGTGGGGTCGCCTAAGTCCCTTGTACTGCGGCCACTTCTGGCCTATTGTACCAGCCCCAGATGATGGGTGAGGGTGATTGTGGAGCAATTGGTGGAATGAAGATTCGCAGGGGAAACCGAAGTACTCGGAGAAAACCTGCCCCAGCGCCACTTTGTCCACCACAAATCCCACTTATCCAAACCCGGGATCGAACTCGGGCCGCCGCGGTGGGAAGCCAGAGACTAACCGCTTGAGCTATGGCGCGGCCAAGTTCCTCATTAAGCCACTCTTACCAGTCCAGTGTTATTTCCAAATATTTTCCTCAGGGTCGTGTTCTCAGCACTCTCAACTCACGCCTTTCCATTAGTCTTCTCCTACGAGTCCAGGTTTCAGAGCCATCATGTTCAAACACACGCTCACTAAAAGTGTCAAGCATTATAAATGCACCAACAAACAATAAGACATCTCGGTGGCTCATTCGCAGACTACTGGACAATGCTTATCAACTGTAAATACTATTTATGATACTATGCACGATGAGCTTGAAAAGATAAGAGTAAAAATGACCGCAGCATATTACAAGTTTCGATCCTGATATTCAGCATAAGGTACAAACGAAAATCACGAAAATCTTCGCTTGAAACTCGAACTCAGCTAATCTGTCGTGTACCGGCCGGACTTTGGAGTTCCCACTGAATAACGTAACTAATTAAGGGCTGGGCCTCATATTCGAGGCACCATCGCCGCTGACTCGTGAAAGTAGCTTACTTGATAGCTCAGTCGGTATAGAGACGGGCTGCGGGCTGGAACGGCAGGGGTTCGATTGCCAATAGTAGAAAATTTTTTCTCTTTGCAACGTCCAGGCCGGCCTTGTGGCCCACCCAGCCTCCTATCCAGTGGGTACCGGGGACGATTTCACCGGAAGTAAAACGGCCAGGACGTCAAGCTGACCACTCACGTCCATTTAGTGCCAAGATCAAGAATGGGGGAGTTACACTTATACTCCCTGTTACGTCTTCTTGGCACCGTGACCGGCAGAAGCTTTAATATTTAACTAATTTTTATGCCTGTTACATTTAATATGTAAAATGTGTCCAAAACTTTTAAAATGATGCAAAAAGCGTATGTGTCGTGGCGCTTTACCTCGAAGATGTGTGTTTCGTGGATTCTGTCAATTAAATACATCCCTTTCGAAGCAGATATGTTTTATGAGTGATGACGGTTATATGAAGATTCCTAAGGGCGTCTAAAACGGCTTTACCCATCGCAATCCTTGGGCTACTCTGGCCAGTGGGCTGCTGTAGGCACAACGTATTCTCCATAGCCTCGTGACCGGAAAACAGTCTCTGTTTCATCGAGATTCTGTTGTATTCCACACTTCAAAGCAGAACAGAAGACCATGAATACTTCAGACGAAATTGGCAACCTCTGTAACGCATACTGACGCCTATCTGTCTGATTTGTATCACTTTACTTCCCTCTGCGCATTCTGCAACACCTGCGGCCGCGTCCCTTGTCCTTCGTTAGTTCAGTGACTCAACTTGATGTTCAAAGAGAAAACAAACCGAATCATTTGCCCCAGTGTTTTGAAGGGCGTTATTAAAGAGTGCGAAATGTTTGGTCTAGACTCCCACATAGGTAGACAAGATCCGGTCATAAAATCTTCTGACGTTGTGCTTATGTCCCACACACATACTCGCGCGCGCGCACACACACACACACACACACACACACGCATAACTTTTAATAAAACAAACATACGTCCAGGGTAAAGCGGGCATAACGACAGTTCATTATGCACATGAATAAGAAACGTCTGTTTAGAATGGGAGTTATTCGTCAGTTTCCGTGACAGAAATTCAAACGTAAGTGGTAAAGCAAGTGTCTCGTAACTTCGAACAAGGCCAAGAGTAACCTTGAATGCGCAGAAGAAAAATTTCAGACAAGGGAGTGCACAACTGGCCGCCTGTCACTTCACACACCCTCGAACCAACCCCCTTGTCTGAAATTTTTCTTCTGCGCATTCAAGGTTACTCTTGGCCTTGTTCGAAGTTACGTGACACTTGCTTTATATAACACTTTACTGCCAACAATAAACGAACACGACAGTAGGAGGCGGCAAAATCCTAAGTGTCATAAGTTAAAACAACTGGCAACACTGCGAGGGATGTGTTTACGAGAAACGCATTTCATTTCATATACCAAGTATACGCTAAAAGAACAGGATCACGCCACCGAAAAAAAAAAACGGGGAACAGGTGGAGATGAGAAACCGGTCCCATTATTATTCGGCAGTGACCATTTAATTTGTGTGAATCTAGAAAGAAACCCAACGGACAGCGCTGCCAAATTCAAGGGGAATTGTTATAAAGTCTCTCTCTGCATGCCAAGTCCATCCCGGTATCACGAGCAACATGGAATGAAGGAAATGTTGGTTCGGCAGTTCACTACGTCACACATGTACATCCGCTCTAAACGTTTCCAACAGTAAAGTTACTAAATGTTTAAGAGTTCTATCGTCCGCGATATAATGCGGCATACTCCGGTTAAATTCGACCGACGTTTCGAAGGAACATATCGCCTCCATCGTGGAAGAGTAAGCCAAGCAAGAAACCAGCATGAAAAAGGTAACAAGCATAACTTTGCTTGCTGTCTGCTTCGTATTGGTTTCTTCCTCTGTTTGCTGTGTATGCTGCTTTCTTGTTTGGCCTATTTTCTATCCTGAAGAAGACAGCCATATGTTCTTACGTAAAGTAAGAAAAGGTATCCCTGTAACAGGCCGTGGAGGCCCATAGGGTTGTGATATGTTGAGGTTCCCACATTTCCTAGACAATCGGCTGACAGATGGCAGTAAATTTGTCAGCCCTACGCGCCGGCCGCCCTTTACCCCCAAGAATATTCCTGGCATTCATTTCTGTTAGAGGCTGAGTCGACCCCAGGGCCATAGTGCGGCTGGAAGGATTAGGTCAACTGAAAAAAAAATCCAATAACCTCATCGGGACTTGAACCCGCGACCTTCCGGCTTGTAGCGTAGTGCCTCAACCAACTACGCTACCGCGTGCCCATAAATTATAATTTATTATATGTTACGGAAATATTAAAAGTGTTTATGGGATCATCAATGCTTGATTCTCAGCTACACACTTCAAAATAAGACACTTTTCATATATTCCTTATCACAAATGTTGATGGTGAGAACTTGAACCAGTTCAAACAGAGTACTAGTACAGCGCCTTCAAGGAGAACATCCGCTCTAATCTCAATACGAGGCGCAGGAGACTTTGCTGTGTCCCTGCTATTCCATTCATTTTAGCCAAAATTTATTAACGACCCCACATAAGCCTTCTTTCCTTGCTTTGTCCCAGTACCGACGAGGTCTTAACAATATTGGAAATGCTGGCATTCTCTCCTTGTTGGAACAGCGAGTAGCCCCTGCTTCTGGCACTGCCTAGCGACGTTATTTAAAACACATAAAATTCTTGCACTCAGGTACTTAGAAATAAAGACCCGAGAGAAATTCCCCCTTTCCCCATAAGATGTAATACGCAATTACTCCGGCTCACCACACGGAGACAGTGTACAGAGCAAGACCTTACGCTACGACAAGACACGTATCTTAAAACAGGAGGCTAGAAAAAACTGCGTAATGAGGACTTTCATAAATCGTACGCTTTACAGAATACTGCGCTAATAGAAACAAGAAGAATGGGATCGGTGAGGCCTGTAGAACGCACGAAGATGGGAAATGTGCACAAAATTTTGATCTGAGAACCTACGGGAAGAGACCATTTCGAAAAAAACAAGTTGATGAGACGGTAAATAAAAATGGATCTCAACGAAACTGTGGGAAGGTGTGGGCTGAACTCATGTGGCTCTGGACAGAGATAAGGGGCCCAACGCCCAACCTCCAGAAGGAAGAGATGGTATGGAATCGATAGGGGCCAGTGGTTGGCTCATGTGAACACAGTAATGAACCTTCCTGTTCCATAAAATGTTAATAAATTCCTGAGCAGCTGAGCGACTAGCCGCTTCGCAAGAAGGACTCAGCCCCACACTGTTTGTTAGTTATGGACAATGCAAA